TGGTTTTAATTTTTCTCCGTTAAGTATAATGCTGGCTGTAGGTTTGTCATATATAGCTTTTATAATGTTGAGGAACTTTCCTTCTATTCCTAGTTGGAACTGAATTTTTTATTACCCATCCCTTAACCTTGGTTGTGGCTATTTCCTGGGAAAAGCTCAAAACCCCGCCTCACCCCCCAACTCTCAGAGGTGTCTTACACACTTTTGCCTGCTCCCTTAACCTGAGAGACTCAGTTTCACCCCAGATAGGGTTATTAGAGAGTCTCTGGGAGATGATCAGTCTCCCCTTCTGCCTCCTGAGGCATGTCTGAATTCAAACCCAGGTTCTTACTAGTCTGATGAGCGGTGCTCCTTTCCCCTGGCTGGTTCTGTTGTGCATCCGAGGCCCTCACCCCAACTCACCGGGAGGACGAATCCGCGCTCCAGATCAAGCTGTCTGTGGGGGACAAAGCTATAACCTGGTGGGATCTCCTCCCAGTGGACTCCAGTGACAAGGAAGGTGATAACTCACCATCTCTGCAATCCCGGCACACAAGCCCCTAAGAAATGTTGTGGGAGTTTGCTAACTGAGATACGGGACACTGAGGGAGTTTAGCAGGAAGCAACATTTTATTGTCCAGCACAGACCCAGCGGACTCATGTCCAAAGGCTGAGCCCTGAGAACAAAGGGGTCTCACTTTATGTACCGTTGCAAGCAGGTTACAGAGGCAATAAAATTAAAAAAACAAGGTTTAACCCATATATGCAATTCTATAAGCTATTTCATCCTAGTGCTAAGTGATGTTCTTCACCTTTGAGTTCTTTAGATTTTATCTCTCTGCTATGCCATCCCTTCCCCCCTGCTACTTTTTCAGAACTCAGGTCTGTCTGTTCTCTTCTGATCCTCCTCCCTGCTACATTATTAGCAGTATCTCAGAGAAAACACAGTTCTTTTCACCAGTGTAAACTTATACAGTAGGACAGTAGTGGCCAATCTGTGTACATAAAACTATGCTGTCTGCCATTCTCTTTCTCATTCTTCACATCTGTCATTGCAAACCTTTTCTACTCTGTTCAGTACCCTATATATTTAAATTTAATTTAAGCTTAGGTTTCTAGTAACAATGATTTTGATTTTTTTTTAAAAAAAATACTTAACAAAAAAGTTATGAGTATAAAGAATTTTTATATAGCCTTCACCCAGATACACAAATGATAACATTTATCATACTTGCTTTATCATTCATTCATTCTCTTTCACTCACTGTGTTTGTGAGTACCTAAAATTATTTTTTTTCTGAAATATTTGGCATTAAATTGAAGATAGGATATCATTTTCCACCTAAGTATTTTGTGTGTTTTCATCAGTCTCTTTGAATGATAGATGAAGTCTCCTTTTTTTTTTGTCTCTCTTTTGGTTTTTGTTATTGCTGTTGGTTTTTTGTTTTTTTTTTTTTGAGACAGGATCTCTTTGGGCAGCCCACCTGAGGCTGGCTTTGAATTTACTCTATTGCCCAGGATGACCTCGCAGTCACGCTTCTCGCGCCTCAGCTTCCGAAGTGCTAGGACGGCCTGCGTGTGCGCCATGCCCAGTTGTCGCCGTCTCTCTTTGTCTTTCATGAGCTTAAAACTTTCAGAGAGTGTGTTCTGGCCAGTTATTTTTGAGAATGTCCCTCAGTTTGGGCTTTTTTGAGTTTTTCCTTAATGTTAGATTTAGATTACATACTTTTTGTCAGGGAATCCACAAAAAAGATGTGCCCTTCTCAGTGCAAAGTATCAAGAGTCACATGATACTGTTCCCATTAGGATGTGCTATTAACTTTAATCACTTGGTGAGGTGGTTTCTGTCAGCATTTTCTTTTTGTAAAGTTGCTGCCTTTTTCCTTTGCAATTAATCAGTTTCTTTTGAAAGAGATAGTTTGATATTATGTAAAAATACCAGCTTTTTGGGGGGCTGTGTGGCAGTTGTACTGGAGTTTGAACTCAGGGCTTCATGCTTGCTAGACAGGTGGTGTACTGCTTGAACCATGCCTCCAGCCTGAAAAAGTCATTCACTGATGATTCTTGTCCAAATCAGACACTACAGTGGAGTGACTAGATGATTTTCTAATTCTGTCTTCCTCTGCTTCCTAGAATTTTACTGCAAGGAAGAGCTTTCCTGCTTTCCCTTTTTTATGTATCAATTCACTCATTATGTTATTATAGAGTCTTATTTATTCTGTAGATTATAATCCATTTCTCTCATTATTTACTTTGTTCAAATTATGGATATATTTCATAGAATATGGATGCATACTTCCAGTTAAATTGCAGTTGGATGTTTTTCTTCTGGTGCTTTATGCTGATGTACTTATGATATTCTACACCCTTACAGGTGTGAGCTCACTTATTAATCTCTTGAGTTCAGCCCAAGATGAAGATCAGCCAAAATTGAACGTACTGCTGTGTGAGGCCGTTGTCGCTGTTTACTTAAGTTTACTGATACATGCTCTTGCCACAAATTCCTCCAATGAATTGTTTCGGCTTGCAGCCCACCCATTAAATAATCGAATGTGGGCTGCTGTTTTCGGAGGGGGTGTGAAACTTGTTGTGAAGCCTCGAAGACAGTCAGAAAATATTTCAGGTAAGATACTCTTGGTACCAACACTGTATATAATTGCAAATAATTTCCAGTCATAAAGATTTTTTTTTAATGTTTTAAGAAATTTTATCCTGAAAATCAGTGGTTTGAAGTCTAATCATTTTTTAGGATAATGACTATGTCCATGTTAGAATAAGAATGCAATTTATTACTTTTTATACTGAGCGTGGGTTTCCATTTTGGGCACTGGCAGCGATTTGGAACTAGATAGAGTGGAGGTTGCACAACATTGTAAGTTACTAAATGCCGCTGACTGGTACACTTCAAGTGGCTAATTTTATCCTGTGTAAATTTTATCTCAGAGATTTCAGGCAGGGTGAAAAGTGGTCATATTCTGGTTACAGTGAGTTATTGATGATGGATTTGTTCTACTTTCCCTCCCACATCCAATTGGTTCCTAAGTCCTTCTGATATTTCTTTTATATATCCCTCATATCTAGCCCATCCTCTGAGTTTTTTTTTTTAACCCACTCTCCCTCACCATGCTTGTTCAGCCCCTTCTTTTGTCATCTAGTTTCCTCTCTAATTGATCAAACTATACCTCATCATGGGACTAGCTTAAGAAACTTTAGAATTGTCCCTAAGGTAAGTTCCCAGTTTCATATCCACAGGCTGTGCTCAGTCTTAATGCCACAATTTGTCCTTAATATTACTCCCCTACTGATTTCTTTCTAGGTCTGGGGGTGTGGCTCAAGTGGTAGAGTGCTTGCATAGCAAGCATGAGGCCCTTAAATGCAATCCTCAGCACCTCCAAAATATAAGTAATAATGTATAACTAATTAACAAAATTGACTCCTCTCTAGCACAAGTGCTTTATTCCTCATTTACCTAAATCTCCTTTGATCATTTATTTCTGTTAGCTTTTCCCCTTTTGCTTCTGCCCTTCTTTTAAAACATGCTTTATGTCCTAACATATTCATTGAATCTTTCTTGAATCACACAGCCAAAATAATCACACGGTCACTCTCTTTAATACTTACTGAACATATCACTTGTTGAATACATTTTATAGAGAATTACTTTGATCTTTATTCTGTGTAGCAAATAGATTACTTCATAGCAAGATATCTGCATTTTTGCCATTATTGCTGAAAAACTAATGTAGTAACTAGAGAAGTATAGAAGCACAGAGGTAAGTAATTTAGCCTAGAATAAAACATGGCAAGAGGGGGCTGAAAAGAAAGGTTAATAACTGTGGATTAGTAATGGAGATAAATGCTGATTTTTAAAAATCTTTATTCAGCACCTCCTGTTCCTTCTGAAGACATAGATAAACACCGTAGGAGATTTAACATGAGAATGCTGGTCCCTGGAAGGCCTGTGAAAGATGCTACCCCACCACCAGTGCCTTCAGAAAGACCATCTTACAAGGAAAAATTTATTCCTCCTGAACTTAGTATGTGGGATTACTTTGTTGCAAAGGTAAGGGATGTGAGGTATGCAAGCTTTAAGTGTGTCTGTTTTATTCACTCTTGTGTATGTGTCACATATGAATGATGGGGAGGTTTTGGATTCAGTGACCTTGGGTTAGACATTTGGTCACTTCAATTGAGAAACTAAATAGTTCTAGTAAATTTAGGTATGAGCAGATACTTGGTAACGGGTGAGACAGATTAAAATCATATGGAACTTAGGTATAAAACAAAACTCAGCTTATTTTTTTCTAGTGGCTGGGATTCTTATGTTTACTGTCTAGACTTCCTTCTTAGTAGTTCTCTTGGTCAGCAAGGAATTAGAGCAGGAGATGGATAGACATTTGGGGTTAATCAGGCTGTGACAAGGCCCCATAACATATGACTGTTTCCCCACAGCAGAGAAAACTTCGCTAGAGATGAAGTACTCATGGTGACTCTGTCCTTTATAGCTCCATTTCATACTATCCTGGGTGTATGCTAATGCTGCATGTGCTCTCCTGCTTTTTCCTGTTCGCTGGGCTTCTTCTGTGGATATGTTTCCTTCTTTACATTTGTTAACACTGTCATCACTCCTTCATGCCTGTAAGGGGACGTGTTTCTTGTTGTGTCTCTTCCCAATTTTAGGTTTTTAATTAGCTATCATCTTCGAGTTCTTGAGGCATTGATGTCACTGTTTTAGGTAGGTAAGCCGATCTTAAAAAGTCTTTCAGAATGAATTTGGAAGCCTATTCTGCTGCTTAAAAACTTTGCACATGTTAGTGGTTCTAAACTATGAGAACAGCAGCATCAACATCACCTAGAACTTGTAAAAATGTAAAATCTTTAGTCATAGTTCATACTAACTCAGTTAGAAACTCTGCATTTTGACAAACCCTGGTAGTTCTGTGTGCTGAAGTTTGAGAACCCCTGGTTTAGGCAAACCATGAGTACAGGTTTCCAAGTGTATACTCTGTCAGGACTCCAGCTTATACTTCCAGGCTCATTCTGGCCTATCTCTTGAGACTGCTGATAAAGGTGCATTTAATTTTATTGAGATAATTAATAAAGGGAAGTAATAAAGTACTCTTAAAATACAGTCACGTGCCACATAGCCATGTTTTTGGACAACAGTGACTACATATACGATGATGGTTTCATAAGATTATGTTACCTGGCTATGTGGTAGATGTCTTTGAGTAAGTACATTTTGTTATGTTCATACAATGACAAAAATACCTAACAGTTCATTTTTCAAAGTGTGTCCTAGTAATACAAGGCTGAAAACAGGCATTTCCTACTGCTCCCTTTCTAATTTAAAACTTTTCTTAGACATTCTGAAAGCTTATTGCATCAATAATGTGAATGATGACAATATTAAAATTTTCCAAATGGCCATGTGCGAGCTTATTTTCATTTTCCAAAAATGTTTCCTTCTGATTAATACAACATTGTGAAAATTTGGAAAATGCCAAAAAATATAAAGGAGGAAAACAGGATTCATCTATCCAAAGATAACTGTTAATACTCTGGCAAGTTTACTTCTAAATTTTCCCCTCAGATTGAAAAATACATAAATTGGATCAGTATATATAGTTTTATATTTTCTTTTTCAATTTACATTATAAAGTAAGTAAATTCCCACACCACTAAAGTAGCTATTGTTAAAGAATTCTATCATGAAAACTTCAAACATACAAGGAGAAATAGCATCTGAATCCTTTCTACCATTATCCAGTTTCAAAAATTAATCAGTTTTGTTTCATTCATACATCTACCCGCTGTACACAAGTTAGAAGCAAACATGAGATTTCATTTACAAATATTTCACTATGGATTTTGAGCAGAATCACACACATTTCTTTTAAAGGCATTAGGCACTCAGAATTCACGTTATCAAAACTTTTGTATCTTTTTTTTTTTAATTTTTTTTCATTTTTCTTTTATTATTCATATGTGCATACAAGGCTTGGTTCATTTCTCCCCCCTGCCCCCACCCCCTCCCTTA